TTGGCTCCAGCCGGTTTGAGTCGGAGCGTTCACACGTACGCAAGTGAATACTGTCTGTCAAATTCAAATTCAATTCAAATAAATTTTATTGCACAAATATCTCACAGATACTTTGGCAGTATGTCGCGAGATGGTGATGTGTACGATTCAGTGTTTACTTCCGTTCCGAGTTCAATTATCAATCTTGAAAACATGCATCCAGATCAAATTTATCAAATTTTTATACTGTTTTGGACTTTATTTCGTTGAAGTACACGTTTGACACTCGTGGCATCTACCGCTCTACTGATTTAGGTGGTGCTAAAATTTGGCTCGGGCCTGGTCAGACGTTTTCGAAGGGACCAAATTTGCTCATGCTAATTCGGCACGGCCCCGAAAAACCGTCCGTGTGAACGCTCGGCTCGAGCCAAATTTGGCGCGGGCCTAATTAGGCTCGGGCTAAAAACGTCCGTGCGAACGCGCCTTTAGACTCCAAACTACCTGCCTACCCTACTGCTGGCCCCAATTATACACTACACCGCTCGCAGCGCCACCTGCCACAGCGGCGCGCGTGCAAGGTGGCGCCACCTGTCTGCTCGCTCACCGGCGTCGGGTGTCCCTCCAGGTCGCAGTCGATCTTGCGGAGATTCAGCAGTTCGGAAGGCGGAAAGAGTCCGGCCTCGGCCCACGCCGCGTACAGGATGGGAGCGGCGTGACCCTGGAATCACGGGCAACACGAGGATTAGCAGACAATCGAGACAGTACAGCGCGAGAGTATCAAACGACTGTAATATTCACGTCCCAGCCAGCGAAATTGTGCGCTTCATAAATTCACTCGCTGAAGTAAGCACGCATCGGCCGTTGGTCGTAAAATTGACACTGGTACGGAAATGGGCAGCCGAAAAGATGGACAGACGGTCGCACTAGCTAATGCTCTGGGTCCCGTTGTTAGAATCAAAATTAGTGGTAACGTTAAGTTTTTCTCATAGACCGTAGACAGAAACGTGATAAAATTAGTCCTAACATTACTATAAAACGTTGAATTTTTCTCAATGACCGTCAACAGAAACGTGATGAAATCAGTTCTAGATAACATTAGTCTTAACGTTGCCTTTTTCTCATAGACTGTTGACAAAAAACGTGGCAAGGTTACGAGTTTCTCGTACACAAGCATATAGACGTCCGATCTACGAGAAAAAAAAAATTTCTGACAACGGGAACACCCCCCCCCCCCGGGTGGCGTGGCGTGGCGTGGATACTCGCATGACAAACAAGCGTGAGCCACTTACATGAGCCAATCACTCGCTTCCTGGTCAACGCGTCACGTTCGCACAACTTTACCGGACCCTGACATGTCAGCGAACACCCAGCATGCTTTTTCGTTTATGACGAGAACGGACTGCTAACGCTCACACATATGTACAGTACAGTACAGTGCAGTACAGTGCAGTACAGTACAGTACAGTACAGTACAGTAGAGTACAGTACAGGACGACACGCGCATGTACGCTGTTGTACATGCTTCCGAGCACTTCGATTGCACGGCGCTTGGCACTTGCATGGTTGCAGTCGCGTCAGCTAGATTTTGGTTGGCATGTCTAGCACGAGGATTTAACACGAAAGCTGTCAATGTGTGACATGATATACATGATCAGGGAATATAAACGTGGGTGAATGAGAATCTAGGAGAAAATGATGCAGACATTACATTATAACAATGGGGTGAAAAATATGCAGACATCAATAATGGGGGCAAAACGTCACATAGTAACAGTTACACTAGCGACAGATTGCGACTAACAACCCTCTCATGTTTACACGAATATCTTCGTCGCAGGTAGGTGGCAGCAGCAGTACCTTGGACATGACGAATCGGTCACTGGAGGGATCACGTGGTTCCTTCACCTTGTAGCGCATGACGTCGAAGAACAGAACGGACATGATCTCTGCTGCGGAACAACATGATGTCGGATGCCTGCGAACAACGGAACACGCATGATCACTGCTGTGGAACAACAAAGTGTGATGCCTGCAAATAACACCAACACGCACAAAACTAAGAAAAATTTATTTTCTTACATTTGATGTATTTTAATTCAACTCATTTTTCAACACAATTTATTTTGAAAAAATATCTTAATTCGAAAACCAAATTCCCAGAAACCTGCGAAACTGCAGTCTAAGCTTCTCAACCCTGATCAGAATCTGTAGACAGTTCAGTGTTGGTCAGTGCTAGTCAGTGTTTTAATCAACTGCTTCCGTTCTTCTACCACATTGCCGCTTGCTCTATTCTCGGTAATGCTTCAGGAAATGCCACCAGGGTGGGCTGCGTACAGGCGTACAGTAGCCTGTTGTCGGGAACGAGTTTTAACAATGATTAGTCTTAACATTAACTTTTTCTCATAGACTGCTGACAGAAACGTGGCGAAGTTACGATGCTCACATACGCAGCGCATAGAGGTCCAGTCGACGAGAAAAAGTTAACGTTAAGGTTAATGTTAAGACCACTATATTGTCGCGAGAGTGTGACCGATCTATCTACGCACGCACATTGGCAACGTCGTACACTCGCACGAGCCTTGAAACTCGCACGAGCCGTGAAACTCGCACGAGCCTTGAAACTCGCACGAGCCGTGATCACGGGAGACGATAGATCTCTCGTCAGACGGAGCGATCGGCGGTAACAGCCATGACTGAAACATACACGGGTCATGCTAGCTCTAGTACTATAGCCCGCGTACAGCTGCCGCAGGCGGCAACTGAACGCGGGCTGAAGTACTACTACTAGAGCTAGGGTCATGCAAACACGCAGGAGAACTAGACTCGACTCCAAACATCTCAGCTAGCCTAATGCTCCCGCGAAGGAACTGACGCACGCGTGCGCGCGCGAAGCTAAAACGCAAAATGCTTAAAACACTCGTGTGCAGCTGAACGGCAGCTGAAGCACACATGTCAAGCACATGGGAAGCCGGATAAACATGCGAGTAACGTTGAAACTTCAATAACAAACATCGGAACGCAAACGCAACAAGCTTTTCGTCTTGGCCCGATAACGTTGTTTTGCTGACCAACGAACGAGCGGTACGCACAAAAACCAGAATAGCTCAAAAATGTCACGTGGGACTGACCAACATGGCGTCTGAAATAAACACTGGTCAGACCATTGATCTGGTTTCTGCATGTGCATCGATCGTTGCTGCCAGCGACCCACCGACGGAGGCAGTCTACACAGCAGGGTTTCCGTGCAGTCACAGCCCAAAACTACACTCCAGCTCACTCTAGTACTCACTGCTAGTACTCACTAGTCACTTTTACACTACAAGCAGCGCAGGCCATTGAAAACTTTCATGCTTTTACGAAACATAAACAAGCACCACTTCGCGCGGTACAGATCGATACTACAAGGCAAACAGTTTGGCATTTTGTTGTCTTTTACATTTAAAAAAAGCGTTCACTTGGATTGTGATATATGGGCAGTACGAATGAATGAAGTCATTAGGGGTATAGTGTTGATCGTCTTACTATGCCCACAATATCAACTTACTACGCGTTCAAAATAGAATGGTGATATTATTGTGAAGACATATTTCATTGCTGTCTACCCACCTACCGTTCAACATGAAAATAAATTATACTTTGATGCTAATTCATATGAAGTTCGTCATACCTCAGGCTCTCTATCAAAACATATCACAAAGAATCTCAGCATTGCATGCAGACACTACGATTCAATGATGCTCTCCTGTCAACGTCACGTAGTCACTGGCAAATTGGCAATCTGCCAACATGTTACATGGCAATACTTTTCATTCCAAACCATCTGAGGCAACAGAATGCATTCATGGGCCAAGGTGCAACAACTTTCCCTAATGACTTGAGCTCATGGTTTTCACAGACGAAAACCAGTAAAACAAGATGCTTACCAAAGCCGGTGACATGTAGGCACACGCACGCACGTACGTGCACACACACACATACACACAAACACACACAGACGCACGCACAGACTTGTGCGATATGGTAACAGTATTGTAGCAGACATACTGAAACAGAATCAAGGCAACAATGGATTTTCAATAGCAAAAAAAATTATCAGACAGACAAGAGGCAGTAACAATGGCAACTCTATGCAAACAATGAGTTTGCACTAACAAGCAGTGAGTTCTCAACTCCGAATGGAAATCTGCATTGTCATCAGCATTGTCAGCATGACTAGTGAGTACCTTAAAAACCATCTTACACGCACAATGGAAAAGAAAATTCGATCACGATTCACAGGCCCCCACAACAACGTCTCAACAATACACAGTACATTTCAAGGCGAAAACTAGAAACGCTTGGCTAACTACAGCCCCCTGTATCCTGTATGCGCGCACTGGGCAGCCACAACAGTCTATTGATCGGATCGGTTAGGGGTTCAGAGGTATATATACCACCAACACGAATATATATATATATCTAAACACAATGTCTGTGCCAAGACACTAACGTCAGGTGTATGGTGTTATAATCTTGGTAGTCTTTTTGGCTTACAGTACATATATATAACAGCACACTACACATAATAGCACTCTTACACAGTCTTACACACGCTAGCAAGGATATCCACACTAGCCAAGGTATCAGATGACGTGGGCTACATTCACATCCTAGCCGGATGTTTCTTGGCACTATAAACATATGTCAGTCACCTACACTGAGCGATAGTGTACGGGACACACTAATGGCTATATAGCAAAATTATTATGTGTCCACATACAAATGAAAATTACAATCCAATCCAATGTAATACACTACAAATCCAAAGACCTTTGTTGTCTTCCTAGTGTTCATGCCCTTCTAGCCCCTCCCCCTTCCCCATTTCTAAACTCTCCACCCAGGCAGGGCACCAATAATAAGCTATCAATTATCATACAAACCATTTCCTGCTAGAGTTCAATAGACAATAGTGTAAGTGGGGAGTGGTGACGTGAACAGGTGGGCGCAGAAGACATTCCTGCAGCCTAAGCCTTAACCCAGAAGCCTAACCTACCAACCTGCTACATCAAAAAGTGCCACGTGGGATGACTCGGCATCTTTTCACACCCTGTTCATGTTTAGGATTAAGTTGCTGTGCCAAGGCGTTTTTCCCCCACCCATGGATGAGAACCAGATGTTTACGCTAGCGTGTCGCGCAGGAATTTTACAACTCCGAAAAACAGAAGTTAGAAACAGTTTACCACCCTGCGAGTGAAACCCAGCCTGTTACTGTTTCAGCAACACCCCCGCACGTCGAGATTGCTTGAGCTTCCGAAATTCTCCGACGCGGAATTTGTAAACTGCGACCGCTAAACTACGAACGCAAATAAACGGTTTGCTCTTACTAAACTTTTTTAAGAAGATATGCGTGCCTTTTTAACCCCTAAACAGTAGCGTGCTCAGTTACGGCCCATATGATTAAAACGTAATATACTACACCTAGTTCCAAGTCCTAGTCCTTAGGTCAGAGCTCTCAGCTTTGAAATGTGCCCACTAGCCCATTAGTTTTCTGCCCTTAGAGTCAACGCCTACATACATACATGTGCATTGTCTCTTTATATGAACTCTTGCAATTACAGACTAAGTTACATCCAGCATGCTCAAGAAACAAGATACTAATTCTTATTCTGAACTCCCTTTCTATCACAGTACCGAGTAGGCGAGTACATATCCTGATATCATGTAATTGTTACTAGTTTCATTCGACATTTTAGTCGATAATTAGTTAGTATACAGGCTGTCAACGATCACGCTGTGAGCAGAAACAATACAATTCTGTAATTCAGTGTTTAGAAAAACTGGAATAAATCCAGCAACTTTCTGCATGAAGTGAATGACCCTGTTTGCTAAGCAAGTGACAAGCGAGTGACAAATTTGTGGCACGACCAACCTCGCGGCGTATCGTCGTAAACCTATCCATTTCAACGGCAATCCAAACCCGGTTACACACGCTATGCACTAATAAGCTAGGTCTAGCTAAATGTTGCTTTGGGGGAAAACCACTGAATAACATGTCTGTATCTCACGGTCACATCTGTGTGACAAGGGGCATGAACCATGATTACCCGTCTTCTCAGAAAATTGGAATACAAACATGTTATCATTATTCTTATATCACAAAATATGTTGCCAGAATTAAGAATAAAAATAGGCTGCAGATTAGTAAATAAATTTCACTGCAAAGTTTAACATAATAACAGGGTGCAAAATTAACGGGAGTCCGGAGTCAAATACTCTCTGATTTACTGTCGGACTCCACTGATTTGACATATATGCAGGAGTCCGTGCGACTCCCTGAAAATTCTGCTATACTAACTAGTTCGTTCTAAAGCACGGCCTCGCGGAATTACCGTATTTTTTCAGCTAATGTCCAAAGAAAATTTTGCAGACGTGCAACTGCATGAATCTTCAAAATAAGCACATGTATGTATACGTTATTGTTAATATCTTTAATTTTGAACTTCAGACTGCGGACTCCCTCATTTTGCTGCGGACTCCCTCTTTTTGAAGGTAGGGAGTCCGCTGGACTCCCGTGTTCAAAAGTTAAATTCTACCCCTGTAATAATGTTTCATAACTAGCTTTCTTTACATTACAAGCAAGAAGTGCTAGCACGACACAGGAATTTCAGCATTACAGAACGGTAATATTAGTATGATCTCACACTAGGGTGAAAATCTCAACGTCGATTTTTGGTCATTTTTTACAGGAAAACAGATTTCTAATCAGCGACCGGCAGTTAATATAAAGTGCTAGTCATAGAGAAACAAAGTTGCATTGCCACGCCGAAGAAAGGTAATGCTGCCATTGCCATGAGTTTCTTGGATGTACCTCTCATATATGAATCAAGGGAGGATACTCAAAAACATTTGTTAATTCTTTTTCTTGTTCTGTGATTAACTTTCTTCCATCTATGTAGATATTGTGATTTTTTTTATTTTTATGGATCACCCATCTTACAGCTTTGTGCTGAATAAAATCCAATCTGTTGCAGTTTTGCATTGTACATGTGGACCAGCCAGGGACAGATTCTAGAAATGGTGGAACAAGGCCAGGCACTGGGTTTTAGTGTCAGCAAAAGCAAGATTGTGGGATAGCATGACCAATGAGCGGGTGTGTGTTTTTTACCAAATGTAATCAATGAGGGCATTCCTGCGAAAATCGCTGCTTTTGACAACACCCAAAATATTTGTACGTCTTGAGTAGTGATAAGGACCTTAGATAAAGTGAGTAGGTACAAGTTAGACACTGTAAAGCCTAGAGATTTGCCTGGACTGAACATCACGACAGAAATGAATTAATTACCAGATTTTGCTGTCCCTTTCTTGAAACCAGGGGCGGATCCAGAGGGGGGTGCAGGGGGTGCGCACCCCCCTTCCCACCCGTCCCAAGTGCCCTTTTTGCAAAAGTTGCCTTATTAAAAAAATGGTATGTTTTGCCGCTCAGCCTGTATCTGACAAGTATTTCACTCAGTCGGACCCGATCAAGCCCTCGTTTTTCTTAGAATATATATATTGGTCGGGCCCAGGAGTCGGGCCATACCATGCTCAAATCCAAAACAGAAAATCTAGGTCCAAAACTAACCGGTGCCTTTCTTAAAATGATGTTAGCAATACAGTGGTGACACGGAACTAAGAGACGGCGTGCACCAGTCTACCATTCGCACATCTTTGATTTTTCGCGCATGCAAAACAAACATTTTCACCCCACATGCAGTGCTTCAAATTTACACACAGAGTGTCCCAGATTGCATCTCAGAGCTTCAACAATTCAAAAATTTTCCGAGGGGGGGGGGCATGGCCTAGCACTGGCCATGGCAGCAGCCCCATGCTATAATGAAAAAGCTTGGAGAACCCTGTGAAGTATTATTAGCTCTTGATTATATTGCCAAATGCATGCATTTCAATCAGCTATGCCAAAAGCTCACATTAATAACTAACTTATGGACCGAAAACCCATATATATATATGTGAAATTAATGAATTTAAAGAGTAAAAAAAATTTCCAGTGCCTTTTTACAAACGTTGTACCCCCTCCTTCTTAAAATCCTGGATCTGCCCCTGGAAACTCATACATAAGTAGCATTACTTTTACTTCTCTGCAGACAATACCAGAATTAGGCAGGAACTTATTTCAATTTTGAACCCCCTAAAAACACTTACCAACGTAGCGAGTTTATGAATTTATATTGTCTTCAGCGTAGACTTCCTACTGACATTTTTGTTTTTTTGACGCACGCGGGCTATAGAGTATATACTATAGAGTTACTAGAGTAGAGCTATCCCTATGCTACATCAGTGAGTACGTAAGCTAAGGCGCGACAGAGGACGGTCAGTAGCTAGAGTAACGTTATTTTTACTGACGCTTTACTATCTAAGTATCTTCAATACTACTATGATTATTACTATTGTACTACTATTACTATTACTATTAGTATTACTAGCTTGTAACGCCACTGCCGGTATCGCCACCAGGCACCACATGATATCGCCATGAAATCGCAGACGATGCACATTCATTGCAGTTTACCATATCAAATTTACGCGGACACCTACCCACTCTTCGACGCAGAAGTTGCGCGAATGCTGTCAATCCTCAATTTGTTAGCAATGTCTTTCAACTCTTGGATTGTATTAGGGGGTGCCATGGCTGCTGTTTATCAAAAACTTTCCCGACTAGAAGAGGTTAGCTGCGTGTGTAATCACTGTGATGTGGAAACCGGACAGACGGACGACCACCGACTATTGAGCACAATACACTATTTTCCATAGGGTTTGCGTTTACTAAAGGTGAGCATTTTAAAATAAGAAGGCGCTAAGCACTAGTATGCAGGCATCGTGTAGAAAATAATTATGCTGTGAAATATATGACTTTGTAAAATGGTGTAATAAAATGGCGATTTATATCGTTAAATACATTTTAAACAATAATTTATTGCCCGACATAAGCTGAAAATCACCCATCTCTTAGTGAAAAATAGACTCGCCCAAATCCCAACAACTGTGCTCCACGTGACCAGTCAATACCGGTGACGTTGCCGCAAAGCGTTGGATATATCGTAGCCGTATTTCCTAGTTGTCCGAAGATTTTACGGTTTTTCTGATCGTCTACCAAAAAGTGGACGGCAAAAATAGAAATCCGACATGGGGAGTAAGTACTGCAATCTTTGCTCAAGTTGTGTTGATGAAAATTGTGTAGTTATTTATAAATTTGAGAATTTATTACGCCTGTATTAATACAGCTGTGGCGGCAGCCATGACACCTAGCTTACGTGGCCAGGAAAATGAGCCCAGTGGGCCAGTACTAGCGTTGGAATAATTACATTTCTAATAAAAATAGTGTTATTTAATTGAATGTAATGATTACTTTATACTATTTTTTGAAGTCTAGTAGATTCTGTGTTGTAATATCGTCACCCTATTTATGCTTCACGTGATATAATCGCAAGTTGACTGTCGTTTCTATGACTGTATGGGCATGCCTGTGAGTGTGAGCCTAATTCCATGAGAAGACAAATCTGTTTGTAGTGTGGTATAAGTTACGCCGGAAAGCTACATACAAATTATTATTTTCAGTTAAATTCTTGGAGGTGATTCGCCCATTTTGTGGGATTCTCCCAGAAGTATCAAAACCGGAAAGAAAGGTACACTATAAAGTATTTGATGGTTAACACAAGTTCCCCATACTGTAAGTGTAACAGTAACCAAGTTAGATTTCCTACATTTCAGGAAGTTAATTCCATTAGTGATGCTTAGAAGGCTGTGCATTCCTTCTTCGTTTGTAAACTACTAAATGACAACTTCCATTAAAATTTGAAAGGTTAGTTTATAGCCTAGCTCAATCACTAATAATTCATGTATAATTTCTTCCCACGCCCTAGATCCAGTTTAGAGAGAAGGTACTATGGACGGCTATCACACTTTTTATATTCCTGGTCTGCTGTCAGGTAAGTGACTTTAGGAAGCATTCTATTTAGGAGATAGTTCGTTTTTGCACATAATTTTGTATAGAACATAGTTGCTAACAGATACAGATAAATATTTTGATACAGGTAAAAGTGTGTATGTGCAAACTGAACTGCTGTTATATACCGTGTTAATTGGAAAATAAAGAGGCAAACACACAACAAGTTTTATAGGGGGAAAAACAAACAAAACATTTTCATAAGTAGATTGAAAAAAAGGGTTAAAATATTATAAAGTTTCCAAGTGGCTTTTGCTCCATCCCATCGTCTAATGCATGTGCTGTTCGTGTTTCAGATTCCGTTGTTCGGAATCATGTCATCCGACTCTGCAGATCCATTCTATTGGATGAGAGTGATCATGGCCTCCAATAGAGGTTTGTTCCCAGTGCCTAACATGAGCTGATACAGTGAAATTCATCTGGTTTGCTCATTGTAAAGACTGTCTTGAAAAAGTACATGTATTTGTATTAGACTTGCATGCAATATAGATTTAATAGTGATAAATGAACAGTTGCAGTCGAATTCGCCTGCATTTTTCGCTAGCAACTGCTGTCGCACTCACCAACGTTGGTGAGCTCCAGGTACGCTCGTGTTAACAGCATTGCTCGTTAACAGGTACGCTTATGGAGCTGGGTATCTCGCCCATCGTGACGTCAGGTCTCATCATGCAGCTTCTGGCGGGAGCAAAGATCATTGAGGTTGGCGACACTCCCAAGGACAGAGCCCTGTTCAACGGAGCGCAGAAACGTGAGTGTGGCGTCCTCCATAATAACAAAACGGTGGTTCGATCCCGTAGCATGTAGAGGGAAGTACGGTGAAACCTGTATATGAAAGTTATTGAATGAACCCTCCCTCCAGAGTGGTCCTTATAGACAGGTGTTTGATGTATAAAGGTGGTTTCACTTTGTAACCAGCAGTCGAAGGAAACAAGAGAAGTGCCCTTTATAGACAGGTGTTTGATGTATAAAGATGGTTTAACTTTGTAACCAGCAGTCGAAGGAAACAAGAGAAGTGTCCTTTATAGACAGGTGTTCATTGTATGGCAGCGTCCGCTAACACAGGTTTTATCTTTGTTCACACATCTATTGTCGCCGCGACGATTCGTCAGTGATGCGCGTGCATGCGATTAAGATCGAGAGATCTTTGTACTTTATTGTTCATTTACGTCAACAACTGGGGCCGGTTTCACGAAGCGTAATTAAGTTCTTAATCATGATTAAATCACTAATCATGATTACTTTCCTGTAATTATGATTAGTTAATCATACTTAAACCACTGAAACCGGCCCCGGGTTTACATTACTACTTACTTATTACATCACTACATTCTGAGTGTGTCCGTGTTGTCGTAGTGTTCGGCATGGTGATCACGCTGGGCCAGGCCATCGTCTACGTCATGACGGGCATGTACGGAGAGCCGTCCGACATGGGAGCTGGCATCTGTCTCCTCATCGTCATCCAGGTAACGTGCTGAGACGCAAATTCCCTCCTAGCCCAACAAAGAAAGCCGAATTTACGAACTCGGAAAATGTCAAAACTCGAAAACATCAGTAAATGACCCCTCTACGACCCCTATCCCATTAGTTTGTTGCGTGATCGCTTCGTCACCATCCGGATACGCCCTCGTTGACCGGACTGTGTGACTTTGGTTTCTGCGGCCTCTCCGCATGTCCTCGACCTCTGCGTGACCCCAGTGCTCTCCTCAAAGTTTCTGCATGACGTGCACCCGCGACCCTTAACTTCCACTATACTCAAGTGCGTGCCCACGACCTCTTCGTGACCCACGAGCATGACCCTCGACCTCTGCTATACCCGCGTGCATGCCCTCGACCTTTGTGACCCCATGTGCTTGACCTTTGACTTTTGCCCGCAGCTGTTTGTCGCGGGCATGATCGTTCTGCTGCTGGATGAACTGCTGCAGAAGGGCTACGGCCTCGGCTCCGGCATCTCGCTCTTCATCGCCACAAACATCTGCGAGACGATCGTCTGGAAGGCGTTCAGCCCCGCGACCGTCAACACCGGCAGAGGTAGGTGGCGCTGACAGCTCAGTCGCGAGGAGCCAGGGGAGTGGGCGTGGTGTGAATTAGTATCGACGTTGTTACTGGTAACTACATTGTTACCTGTATCTATGTCATCTGAATCTACATCACTACCTGCATCTATTTCATTATATGAATCTACATCATTGCCTGCATCCATATCGTTACATGCATCTACATTATTACCTGTACCTACACCAGTACATGTACCTAGATCATTACCTGTATCTACATTAATACTTGTCTCTACATTATTACTTGTATTTACATTAATACCTGTACCTACATTAATACCTGTACCTACATTATTACCTGTATCTACATTAATACTTGTCTCTACATTATTACTTGTATTTACATTATTACCTTTATCTACATCACTACCTTTACCTAAATCGTTACCTGTATCTACATCATTACCTGTGTATGATCACCGTGCAGGTACGGAGTTTGAGGGTGCCATCATTGCACTGTTCCACCTGCTGGCGACGAGGACAGACAAGGTGCGAGGGCTTCGTGAAGCCTTCTACCGACAGAACCTGCCCAACCTGATGAACCTGATGGCCACCGTGTTCGTGTTCGCGATCGTCATCTACTTCCAGGTACTTGGCCGCTCGTTTATAGACTGCTTACATGTGCTCGGTTTATGCCGAGTGGCTCGGAGCAGCATCTGTGTGTGTGTGTGCCCGCGTGCGTGTGTGTGTGTGTGTGCGTGCGTGCGTGTGTGTGTGTGTACGCGTGCATGTGCGTGTGTGTGTGTGTGCGTGTGTGTGTGTATATGTATTGCATGTACGTGCGTGTGTGTGTGGTGTTCAGATGTGGTGTGGTAGGGATGCATAAATAAGGCATGTGTGTGTGTGTGCGCACATGTTTGCGTGTGTGTATCGACTTATTACTATATTATGTATATGTATGATATACATATATACATATTATACATATATTAATTGGTTGGGTGTGCTACAATGAAACAAATAAAATTTATTTTTCGGGCGCTACTTTTCAAGCTCGCGTGCATGAAAATAGCACTCTAAAATTTGGTTTGCATTGAACTCTGTGCAAATTTCCGGGGGCTCTTTTTGGCATTTCGGGGGCTAAATCGCCCCGAGCCCCCGTGTATTTTTTTCACTGGTGTGCTATGCTGGGGTAGATGTTGAGATTGTGCTGTCTTGCAGGGATTCCGTGTCGATCTGCCCATCAAGTCGGCGCGATACAGAGGACAGTACAGCTCTTACCCGATCAAGCTCTTCTACACCTCTAACATCCCCATCATCCTGCAGAGCGCCCTGGTGTCAAACTTGTACATCATATCTCAGGTGAGTGATGCCCGCCCGCTGCCTACAAAGAGACGTTCATATGTTAATCGCAATTTTTTTACACGAGGGGATGTTTTTCGGGAAACTTGATTGGAAATGAAACCTGATTGTAACACAATACTATTTAAATATAATAGTTGATTTAGAATGTATTGGAAAACCAATAGAAATATAATGGTAGTATGTTATCCTAATTTTCTATAAATTTTTTTTATTCGCAGATGTTATCAACAAAGTTTGGCGGCAACTTTTTCGTCAACCTTTTAGGAGTATGGGCTGTAAGTATTTCAAATGTCATTCTGTTTAAATCAAACACTGCCAATAGAGGGCACCACGTATTCATTTAACTCATGTCTACTCTTGCAATGATCATGTCATGTATGTACACTTTAACATGGTTCGCACAGTCCTTGAAAAGTCCTTGAATTTGTGGGGAGTTCTTGGAAAGTACTTGAATTTAGTAAATGTTGATTTTGTGCTTGAAAAGTCCTTGAATTTCATGAAAATGTTCTTGAATTTCATTAAAATGTCCTTGAATTTTTAGAAACAATCCTTGCCTGTAATAAAAAGAAATTTTGTACCATCAATAATGTGCAAACCTCAATAAAAATTGCGTTAAATGCGCTTAAAAAGCTATAGACACGCTAGACAGTTAAATGATGATCACAAATTACAGTAAGTCAATAAAATCAGTCAGTAAATCAAGGTATGTTGTAAAAGTGACAGTGTTTAGAAAGGGTTTATTAATGTGATCCAGGTAAGTTTTAGAGGTGACAGTGATTAAGAATGGGGTTATTATTAAATTAATTCAGACCTGTATGTTTTGTTTTGTGTATAAATTCCGATAAAATGTTCGATAAAATGTCCTTGAATTTCTGATAAAATGTCCTTGAAAAGTCCTTGAAAACATTTTTAGTCCTCCTGTATGAACCATGTAATAAACTCTCTCACTAAGCGCTCACGCTAACCCTCACTCTTCGCCTCGCGCGCACGCATGCGTATCTCTGTAAGCCGTCCTCATCTTCCGTATCTTCGTCAATGCGCGCCTAACTCATGTAATTGTTCCTTCATTGTCCCTCCTTCGTTGCTTGCAGGACGGGGGTGCCGCTCTTATCCGATCTCTGTATCTCTGCTCATCCTCACACTAACCCTTGCTTGCAGGACGTGGGTGGTGGCGACCCCGCGCGCTCGTACCCGATCTCTGTATCGCTGCTCATCCTCACACTAACCCTTGCTTCCCATCGTTGCTTGCAGGACGTGGGTGGCGGCGGCCCCGCGCGCTCGTACCCGGTCGCGTCGTGTGTGCGCATGCGTTCCTATCTCTGCTCGTCCTCACACTAACCCTTGCTTCTCATCGTTGCTTGCAGGACGTGGGCGGAGGCGGCCCCGCGCGCTCGTACCCGGTCGGCGGCCTGTGCTACTACTTCTCGCCGCCGGAGACGTTTGGACACATGCTGGAGGACCCGATCCACGCCGCGCTCTACATCTTCTTCATGCTCGGCTCGTGCGCGTTCTTCTCCAAGACGTGGATCGACGTGTCCGGCTCCAGCGCCAAGGACGTGAGTCATCACATCCGATTCACCGCGTTAATCCGTTAGTTGGGATGCTCGTGGGGGTACGCGTGGGATGCTCATGGGGGTACGCGTGGGATGCTCGTGGGGGTACGCGTGGGATGCTCGTGGGGGTACGCGTGGGATGGGGTGTGCGTCTGTGAAGGCGCGATGTTCATGGCCTTGCACACATGTTATATTCGTAAATGGAATGCATGCGATCGGACGTGATATGATAAACGCATGGAGAAAGGTGCGAATCGGTTGTGCATTAATCTGTTAGTTGGGATGCTTAAGAGGGTAGGGGGGGTGTGCGTCGCTGAATTGGCTCGTGCGCGGGTCGCCCCCGTCAGGTTTATATTCTCGTATTCGTGTTATATTCGTAAGTGGAGCACGTGCGATCGAACGCGATGTGAGAAAACACGCGGAGAAATGCGTGGAGCGGTCGTGACGGGCCCCACGCTGCCCGATCTATGTTGGTTTCGGAGCTTCGTCGAGTGTGGGGGAGGCGTGTCGGTGTAGGTGTGTTGGCGGTGATGAAAGTTCAACGTATATAAGCACATGCTGCATGTGAAAATGTGCAGTCGATGATGAGGGTTTGAGTATATATATATATATATATATATAATATATATATATATATATATATATATATATACTATATATATATATATATATATTATATATATAGTATATATATACTATATAATATTATATATTCACATGATATATTTTATATATAATATATATTATAATATAAAGCTGCGTTCACCTATACACGGCTTAGCCTGCGTACCGTACTTAGTTGGTGCCTAAGTCCGCGAAAAAACTGCCGTTTACACGAGATACACGAGATTCGAGGCTTAGCTAGCTCGGTATATATAGACTGCGTACCCGGTCGACAGTTCCACACGCTACCTAACGTTCGGTGCAGCGAACGGGTAGCAGTCTAGGTGTAGAGCGCTACAGTTTCGCAATTCGAATGCCGTACACACGACAAACAATACGCGGCCAGCGTGGTTGCCGCAATATACGCGGCCTTAGTTGGTGCGGATTGATGATTCCGCGCTTAGCCAAGCGGAGCTTCGCGGCTAAGCAAGCCGTGTATATTTGCGTCGTGAACGCAACTTTTCTCCTCGTCGTGAATGCAGCTATATTCATACATTGTCTGTGAAGATCTGTGGCAATGTTGAGGTGTTGCGGCAGTAATGAAGTATGAGGCGTGCTATACCCTCTACGAGATGGCCGTTCACGGCTCCACGTTTGCTCCGCAGGTCGCAAGCAACTTAAGAGCAGCAGATGGTGATGCGAGGGCACAGAGAGAAGTCGATGATCATGAGTTGAACGCTACATCCGACCGCCGCCGCCGTTCGGAGGTCTCTGCATCGGAGCGCTGTCCGTCTATGGCCGATCTCATGGGTGCGTGAGCTGTCTATCTATGGTGTGTGTCTCACTGTCTCCCCCTTTCTCTCTCTTCTCTTTCTCTCTCTTTCTCTCTCTTTCTCTCTCTTTCTCTCTCTCTCTTTCTCTTTCTCTCTCTCTCCTCTCTCTCTCTCTCTCTCTCTCTCTCTCTCTCTCTCTCTCTCTCTCTCTCTCTCTCTTCTCTCTTTCTCTCTCTCTCACTCACTCTCTCTCTTTCTCTCCCCTTTCTTTCTCTCTCTCTCTTCTCTTCTCTCTCTCCCTCTTCTCTCTCTCTCTCTCTCTCTTTTCTCTCTCTCTCTCTCTCTCTCTCTCTCTCTCCTCTCTCTCTTTCTCTCTCTCTCTTTCTCCTCACTCTCCACTCTCCTTTATTTCTCTCTTGCTTTCTCTCCCTCTCTCTCTCTCTCTCTCTCTCTCTCTCTCCCTCTCCCTCTCCCTCTATCTCACTCTATATAAGTATCTCGTCTGTAATCGCTCGTATCTCGCTCCCTCGTTTACAGGTGCGATCGGCAGCGGCACAGGTATCCTGCTCGCAGTCACCATCATCTACCAGTACTTCGAGATCTTCATGAAGGAGCAGAGCGAGATGGGCGGCATGGGAACGCTGCTGTTCTAGAGATGGCGCCACCGTCTGCTCCTCCACCACGCCGCGCCCGTCCGCCCCCGCCGTCGAGTGGGACGGTCCAACTCGCTCCCGCCCGCCGGCTTCTCTCGGCGGAGGAAGGAAGGGAGGGTGGGTCCGGCGCCCGTCGTCACGGCAACATCTGCGTGCGCGTCCCCGCCCCACTCACCGCGCGCGGAAGCGACAGGCGCGCCGCCTTCTCTCCTCCGATCACCATGGTGACGGTGTAACAAGCAAAAGAACGGTGTCGGCTGTAGATATTGGGGCGTAGATTTTTATGGTAGGTCGGGAACGTGTCCAGAAGGGGAGGGGAGGGTAGGGTAGGGGAGGGATCGACTAACTATTATTCGATGACGGATAGAATTGTTTTTAGCTAGAAGCGGGCGGCAACATCAATGCCGTCGGAGACACCGGGTCGGCGCGGCGGAAACCGGGGAAAAACGGCGTTCTCTTGTTACGGATTTTTCTGGCGTACGCTCGACTAACAGCCTGGGGTTTTCACGCGGGGGCGCGGGCGTGGCGACGCTGCACCCCTGAGCACACTGGCATCCCTCCGCACACGCACGCGGCGATCGCGGAACGGCGCGGCGCACATTTTTTTTACGTTTTTTTTTGTCCGGGTGCATCTCCCCCCCAAGCGGCGGCGGCCGTCGCCGGGAGGGGTCGGTCGGTCGGTCTCCTGGCGGATGTTTTGAAATAAAAAGGTGTTTGAGATAATAAAACAAAAATCTTGCGTCGATAAACGCCTGCGTCTATTCGTTTTCACGTCGTCGTCAATTCGCATCACTCGTAAAATGTCTGTGACACCGTCGACATCTGATAGGTGGGATGCATAGTGGGCTGCACACTTCACTCTTCTGGGCTTTCTCACTCATTTCACAAGTAGTGCAGAGGCGAGGTTAACTCGTTGTAGGGGAGCTATCTTTGCAGCTGAATTGGCTCCCTCCACCGATCGTTGGATTAATGAATTAAAAAACGGACCTCGGTTTATGAAATAGCTACACACGCGTAGCGAAGCGATGTCTTCACAGTGAAACAGTATGTATTTATTAGTAAATATTTCTTGTACATCGGTGCGCGTAGCCGGCACAAGCCATGC